AAATTGAGTAATTAATAATTTTTCACTGCCGGAGCCATTCTATCCTTTTCTATCCCCTCTCTGTCCTTGTCTACCACGTGACCATCACTTCGTCGACCTCCTTGCCTATTCTATATTCCTATCACTTTCTTGATTTTTGAGCCCAAATCATAGATGGCGCTGATCGCAGGCGGTAAAATTTTTATTCGAACTAGATACCACTTATAGTCAGGCGCTAATAATACACATTAATAAATCAATTCGGCAGCAGAAAATTAATACATTTCCAAGTTTTTGTAATTAATTCGTGAACATTTATAGCTGCGCAGCAAAGTTGGAATTATAGGCAACATTCTTATACAATGTTTAATTTAATAATTAGTTATTAGTACATAAGATTGCTATAAAAAATTGTTTTTCTTGTATAATATTCTTATTAAATAATAAATATATACTGGCCCAAGAGAGGGTAAAAAATAAATTTTTTTATTAACAAATTTTATTTACAATTTTTTATTTACAATGTTTTCATAGGTGAAAAATAAATACAAAATAAAAAATAGATTGAAAAAAAATATTAATTTATTGAACCGGAATCGAACCCCGGTCCTCGAGCATAGTAATTCTCGACTGTCACCGTTAGGCTACAATCCAAATTAAAAACTGGTGAAAATAAACTTATAATTAAAGTAGTAACAGAACTTTAATCGTAAATATCTCAAAAGTTATTGAATAGTTGTCGCTATAATTATATATTTTCTTAAACTGCATGACGATATCTACAAACCTGCAAAGTTTCAACCAAATCGGTGACCCGAAGGACTTGCACCCTCCTTGTTACATACTATTGGAAGGTCGGGAAGTTACATATATAGGAAGCGGAGGTTTTCCAAGGACTTTCTCGCAAGTTCTCGAACCTCCTTGAAGTTGGAATCCATCTAGTGCCGAGTTTGATGGTTGCTACAATTACAAACATAATTCTAATATAAATTCCAATTTTAATTAAGAATATAATTCTTTTGATTATAAACATAATTCTTAAAAAACAAAACTTTGATATTACGATTATTCCCTTAATTTTCCCAATTTATCTCTTACTCTTCCACATTCTTTCTATATAAATTCTATAGTCCACTAAATAAAGAATTACCAAACTTTCCTTACCAGTAAATTAAACGTACACAAATCGTTTGGGAAACTTTCAAACTGCAAGATACTAGGATAATAATCTCATAATTTTCATGCTCCCTCAGCGATCTTCGGTTAAATTAAACGTCAAACATCTGGAGGGGATACCGGGACAAATTAGGGCGAAAATAGAGAGCGAAACGCGTCCCTTTCGATCGTCCCAAGTGCTATACCAGTTATGCTACTTTGAAGAAAGCACGCGTTAAAGTTGCTGCGAAGAGGGAGGCCGGATACATCGAAGTTATTACATCAACACGGGAAAGTCGTTATCCAGGAGAGCTGAAAGAGATTTACGCGATAATAAAAGATATTCAAGGAGAGCGGAACGACAGCGACGAATTATGGCAGGCTGGAACATAGGTAAAGCCGTAATCTACCTGCAGCGAATGGGACGTCAATTTATCGCGAGTTTTACGAGAGAAATATTTTCCACGAAATAGTTCCCTTCACTCTAACGAATATTAGTTTCAAAGCTCGACTCCCCTTCTATCTAATTATCTCGCGAAAAGCGCCGCTAAATTTGTTACATCCCTTTCTTGTTATCGAACAATTGTTACCCCGTTGCACCGACGCAGGGAAAAATCAAATTACCGAAAATGAAATTGCTATTCTCCAACGCGCCCGATGTATTTTTATCGACGTACCTTTATCGTAATTTAAGCAGGACAAGCGTGTTATTTCGTTACATTATCTCGGTTACGTTATTGTTACGCGTTCTGCAGAAAGCAAATTTTATCGGCGCAATATCTATTATTCAGTCGCAGATACATATATCGATTTTAACCTACGGGCATTTATTGTACCGTTGTTTAGGTTACAATTAATTGTAATTGCAACCTACTCGTTCAATCTTCCGATATCCGTTTTAATAACCAAATACGCGAGAGCGTTGCAAACTACACGTTGTACAAACAACCCCCACTTACGACGTGACGAAACGACCTCTTATTGACATCCATGTATAATTTATGTATGATTTAACGATTTTGCTTAATTACCGAGTTAATCTAGTTGTCCAAACAGCTTCTATGGCAAAAGCAAAATGAAGAGGAAATTCTTTACTCTTCAGCTGAGAACTCGACCTCTCAGCTGAAAAAGGGAAGCAAGGGGGCTACGAGAAATGGAATCAAAAAAGGGGAAAGGAAGATTGGTCGGGAAGTCTCGTACCCTGGTTACGACGTGACGAAACGACCCATTATTGACACCTATGTTTATTCCTTCTAAAGATTTTGCGTAATTACCGAATTAATCTAGTTGGCAAAACAGCTTCTATAGCAAAAGCAAAATGAAAAGGAAATTCTTGACTCTTCAGCTGAGAACTCGACCTCTCAGCTGAAAAAGGGAAGCAAGGGGGCTAAGAGAAATGGAATCAAAAAAGGGGGAAGGAAGATTGGTCGGGAAGTCTCGTACCCTGGTTACGATGTGACAAAACGACCCATTATTGACACCTATGTTTATTCCTTCTAAAGATTTTGCGTAATTACCGAATTAATCTAGTTGGCAAAACAGCTTCTATAGCAAAAGCAAAATGAAAAGGAAATTCTTGACTCTTCAGCTGAGAACTCGACCTCTCAGCTGAAAAAGGGAAGCAAGGGGGCTACGAGAAATGGAATCAAAAAAGGGGGAAGGAAGATTGGTCGGGAAGTCTCGTACCCTGGTTACGACGTGACGAAACGACCTATTATTGACACCTATGTTTATTCCTTCTAAAGATTTTTCG